CCCCCCGCAATTGCTGGGGAATGAATGGGTTAAAAAATGATCAGTGGTCCATGGAACTTCTCAAATGACCAAACATCTTTTTTAGTCATGGCATCTGACTAAATAGAACAATACTAATTGTTTCATATGCCCAGGTAATACTATGTTCCTTTCCTTGCCTTCTTGCCACCGGAGCTATTCTGATTGTTGAAGGTTGGCCTGAGTAAACCTCTCATCCACCAAAAGGTCCCCTGCTGCCGTGGATTGGACATGAGTCATTACTTCCATTGATTGAAAAGCAGGTGCCAGGCCTGTGGGAATCCAGAACGGGAGGGAGTCAGTGCTGGGTTGGTGATGGAGAGGCCAGACCTGGAAGAATGGAGCTAGGAGCTTAGACCTGCTGAGGCTAGGCATGGTGTCTGGGGAGGTCCCAGCACAAGGCAGTCAGGTAAGGCCTGGGCAGAGATGAGCGGGTGTCAGCAAGAAGGGAGATTGTGTGCTAAGGGAATTGGGATGTTGGTCAAGACACCAAGACATTCAGCTGCTGGAGAATGTTTCCAGAAGAGTCAAAATCACCCATTATTAATAAGACCAACCAGAAAGGGGGAGTTTCCTCAGATACTCTTTGACACAAAAAAAAGCCTGTAGCCACATGCCAGTAGTTTGTGTTGCCCCACTGGGATTTAGGAAGATGAAGAAATAGGGGATGAAGGAGTTAATTGGGACCACTACAGGCCCTCAGGCTGGGCCGCTAAATCCGGGTCAGAAGCAGCTAACCAGGAATCCCAGCATCTTACAGTTTCCAAGGCAATACCTATTGTGAGAAACTCATCTTAAAGGGTAAAGCATCTTTATTTATGAAAATTTCTTAGCAACGACACAAGTAGGGGTTAAAGAGAGCAAAATAAACCAATGAACAAAATAGATCCAGGGACATAGAAGCTTGGAACAGACTGACAAATCTCAGAGGGAAGGCAGGGGTGGGTGGAGAGATTAACCAAAGAATTGATATGCATATATGCATAACCCATGACACTGACAATAGTGTGGTGAAGGGGGGGCGGNATACTTTCAACAATAAAGAGAGAGTGCTGCCATTTTTATAGATTGTTGGTAAAATACAAGAAAGGAAATGGAAGGAGGCTGTATGCTGTGGAATCTAAAGTAGATTAGGACGGAAATAAGGTGGCGTTTCTGGAAGCTAAAGAAAGCCCTTATTATTGCTCTTTTTATCTGGACTATTTCCCTCCTATCATCCTCCACACCCTTAAAGACTTTATTCTAGAAGCCGATGCAATGAAACTACCACAGGCTTCGGAGTCCTGCTTCCTTAGCCCAGTGCTGGCATGCAGCTGTGTGCCCGCTGGGCAAGTTACTCCGCTTCTCTGAGCCCCAGTGTCCTCCTTCCAGCAGGACTAACAGCTGTATATATGTCATAGGATGGTCACAGGATTAAAGTAAAAGTGCATGCAAACTTACTAGGAATGCAGCTGGCGTATGATCACTGCTGTTAGCCGTTGGTTGTTTTAAGGGTCAGTTGGAATGATACATGTATGCTTGGCATTTATAGTCCATTTTCTCTAACCAGAGTGTGAGCTAGGCTTCCCGTGGAAATGTGAACTCTGTTCCCGAGACCCTTAGGATCGCCAGAGTCTCCCCCACACTTTGGGTTGTAGTTATCCCCGCTGGTTAGGTGCCAGGGTAATTCTGGAAACTTACTTCGAAGGCTGGCTGAGCTATATAGTGACGGCATTTGCCTCGGAGAGAGCACCTTCTAGGAACCAGGAAAAAAGTGCATTTGCTGATTGGGCCACAGCGGCTTCCCCTGGGTGCACCACCCCTGCAGCTGGTCTCCGGTCCCACTTAACAAGGGTCCGTCATCCCCTTTTGGACAATAAACTGAAAATACTGAACTTACTGAGGCTGGAACTTGCCACTGTTGCCAGAAGTTTATGGTTCACCTTGGAAACCAACTCTTCAAACTTTGTTCCCCTGGGAGACAGTAGATTCAGAAGGTGATGTTCTTATATTTTTTTCATTCTAAGAAAATATTCATTAAAAAAAAAAAAAAAAAGAAGAAGAAGAAGGCTTTCCCTTAATAGAAATAAAAACAGCAGAGAATTTGCGACCTTCCTTGGGGTGGCAAATATTACCTCCCAAGTAGTAACAGTGGTATTCTCTGTCTCTCAGTGCACCTAGCGGTCCATGGCCCTTGTCACCTTGTGTGTGAGAAGCAGCCTAGTGGATGCCCTTGGACAGTTAAACAGCACCTAGTATATGTGCCCTGCACCAACTGAGCAAACGATCACTTTAATCGTTGCTCTCTGTTGTTCTGCGTCTGTCTCCCTGACCAGACCCTGTTCCCTAAGGCAGCAGAGATAGATCATGTGTCCAATACCCCTCAAAGGGTCCCTTTCACGGGTGTTCCGTGTCCGCTTCATGATAATAAGGGTAAAAACACGTGCTTTCAGGAACGAGACTGTCTTTACCCCTTCAGCTCTTCTAGACACTAATAACCATGGTGACCACTTACTTAGACTCAAAACATAACCTTGGCAAGCAATTTCTCATCTAACAGTCTCCTTCTCTGTAATACAAGCAGATGGAAGTGTATGACCTAAAGCTTTCTCACTCTGAAATTAAGCATTATTTTTTTAAAAAAAACAACCAGATCCATTACATGGCAAGATACTCCACAGTTTATGTAGGAATTCCATACCTAGTATGTCAGCTGGTTTTCCCAATAACCCTGGGAAACCGACAGAGAAGATAAATCATCCCTGACTTGAGCTTTCAGCTCAGAGAGGCTAAGCGACTGGTCTGAAGTCACACAGCTCCTGAGTGGGGAAGTGGGAACTTGAACTGACCGCCTCTGACTACTTTGCATAACCCTGAGTGGGTCCTGCCATGTTAGAAACGTTCCTATTTTCCAAAAAGGAACTAGACCAGTGCCAACATCTAAATGGTTGCCTTGCATTGCCGGGTACTCTCCCAATTTGAAGTAAAGGTTAGTTTCTCTGGGGGGGTTTCCTGATGATCTTTTTGGAAATGATTTGAAACATGCATGTTGGTAAATCCCTAATCATTGGGCTTGCTCATTGTGAAAGTGTCTGGTCTGTGCGGTTGTTTTTTATTGGACTATCTGCGGAGGGTCATGGGACTTGAGACCCTGGGCATAGATTAAGTGGGATGGCCCTGACCCACTTTCCCTTGGGGTCCACTGAGGGGAGCGAGGAGTAAGGATTAGAGATCCTAAAACCTTTACAAAGATGAGATTTTGCTGTCCTAATGAACATTTTCCAAGAACTAGGACAGAGACAAGCAAAGATGAGGCAGATGTCACAAGTCACCTCCCAATGGACACATTCAAATGTATACATAAAGTAAAGCAAATTTACTTTACAGGTTAAC